ACTTTTAGTGTCATTTCTTTTTACCGCAAAGCAGTTTTAAGACGGCATGGGTCAAAACTATGATTAAAACGTACAACTGATTAGAAATATCTTTTCCTGGGTTTCCTAGAGGATGAAAAAAATTCCTTTGAATCAATGTCTGGAAGTCTCAATACTGGCAAAACGTAAAATTTTAGTCACATGGAAAGTCACGTGGTCGGGGCATATGACACATGCTCGTCACATCAGAAAACGCGCTAAAGTTGGGAGATACAATTTTATCACAAACGCACTCACTGAAAAGCAACGTCGTGATCTTTCCTACGTAAATGAGGTTTTGGCCAATGAAAGGGATGAAGGACGTTTTTCACGTACTATAAGAAATTATAGCCAAATTCGTTGTAACGCGCTGCGTGTTTGCAAACTTGGAATGGGTTTTTTTGTTCCGTCAATTATTTGAGTGGGGATGGAGTTAATGCAAATCACAATGCAACGCACTCGCCCAGCTCGGCCCTCAAATTGCTCAAGAACAGCGAAGGAAATCGCGATGATGAGTGGAAATATTGTTGAGGGCTAGGGGGCAGACATTGCTCTATTCTTGTAAGAGACAAGAATAAGAAAGATCATAAAAAGCTTCAAAGAAAACTAGTCGATCATTGCCCGAAACAGGGCGATCACAAGCAGCGAACCTTGAAACACAGAAACAAACAAAGTGGATCGAAATGCACCAATCACAAGTAAACATGTGTTTCCTAAGAGGTCCGCTAAGATGATTGACGGAACAGAAAAACCTAGAATTCCTTGGAAGTTTGCAAAATGAATTTGACTATAAATATCGAATTCTTTGATTTTATGAAATGAGTTGAAGTTCCGATACAGTTTTTCGGAGACCATACTCAGATTTTTCAATCCCCTTGAAAGTCATTTTATCCTTGTCCGATCGCTATAGAATTCTCACCAGTGATTTAATGAGAATTGAAGTTTGTCAAAATACAGTTTTCAGTAAAATTGATATCACTTTGACAACAATAGACAAAAAAAACTTTGAAATTGATTAAAGCCGAATTTTGCGCGATCTAGAAAAGCAAACACCAGAACTTACACTGTGGCATTAAGCAAATAACCTCTATGAGAAGTAAAAAATTCTGTATGTTTGAATTCAAATAAAACGTGTATGTAGTTCAAACCTTATAATTTCAATAGCCGTGATAATTTATTTAATAAAAAAGTTCTAAATAACTTAAATTAATCTTACGTAGCGTCAGAATGCTACTTAATATCATATTCCGCTGCTTGGAAATTTGATATATTTTCTTTCTTGCGATCCTGAAAACTCTGTTTTCTCACCACCCGCCTTCAGTAGAGGTCTACATCCGAAAAAAGCTCCTGGTATGGATAAAATAACTTCTAGAATTCTTAAATATTGCCTTCCTGTATCACTTCCGATCATCAGGCACTTGTTTAACAACTCGATAATTTGGCACAGGCTCTGTCGCTCGGTAGCTAGTGGAAATGGCAGAATCGATACCAATCCCGAAGTCTGGTGATTTGGAGGAGCCTGCTAATACCGGATCGAGGAAGCTACCTCCGACAAATAACCTGTAAATTTTCGGGTTCCCCAAGGATCTATACTGGGTCCCGTAATGTTTACGGTGTATGTTAACTCTAAAGACCTGGGCCGGTTGCTCGAAGCCTCGTTAGCGCTAACCGTTGGTTAAGAGGTATCAAAATGTATAGGTTTCCATGGTATTTAACGCTGGTTAGGACTAACCATGCTTCGAGCAACCCGGGCCAGGGCGTTTACGTCGACCAAACGCTTAGCTACAGCAAACATGTATCGAAACTATTTTCAAGCTGTGCTCACAAACTTGTTCAAATTAAAAGGATTAAGCATTTGTTAGATCAAAGAACTTAATACTTTTGTATTTACTAAACTTTTTCACTATTCGACAGTTTAAGGTAACGAACAAAAATCATGTATAATGAAGCTACAACTGGTCCGAAACTTTGCAGGAAAAATTGTCGTCGGTCTGAAGAAATTCGATAACATTTCTCAGTGCCTCAAATCACTTCGGTGGCTCTGCATCGAGGACAAATGGCTATTAAACACTACCGCTGTAGTGCATAAATGCCTGTCGCACCATCAAGTACGCGATTATTTGAACGATAAGTTATTATATAGATTGCAAATAATGATCCGGCAATCTGCCATCATTTCCGGCTTTTTAGTGGCCAGAGGACATGCTTTCCGGGGAGCAAAACTTTTGAACCTGACTTCCCCTCAATTGAAGAACTGTTACTTCACCAAAGGCTTTTAAGGGAAAACTATTTGAACTGCTTTGAGATCAACAGTGAACTTCAATTTTAGATACACTGTACATCGTTATTAAATTGGGAATTTTAATTTTGGTTTCGGAAATGAGGTGACCCATCCCTGCAATGGGAGTGAAATTTTCTAACCCTCCCCTTGACCTTGGCCTAAAATATCATGACCCTCCCTCTTGTATAAATGACAAAATCTAGTTCCTGCAATACACTAGGGTGAGTCAGTATTATGAAAGCTCAAAATGTATTCCTAATCTGTTCTTTGTAACGCCATATACATTCATTTTAGATGACAGCATTAAGCTGAGTCCGACTCTGATTCTGACAGCTGATAACTCGACTCTCTTATCTCTCCCAGGTGTTTTTTACAAAATAAAGAACTTCTTTTTTCTTCTGTGGGTGAACCTCTACATGATCACGGAAACATACTTGCATGACCCTCCCCCTTTTAACAGCCCATTTTTCACGACTACTCCCTTTTTTGCAGTCTCAAAAAGTTGTGACTCTACCTCTGTTTCCACCCCCCCTTTGCTAATTTCTGACAAGTCCCTGAATCGATATCAGTATTACTCAGAAAACCTTCTAATTGGTACTTCCCTGTAGTGTGTCAGTACTAAAACAATTTGGCATAGGGATAGACTGAAGCATGATGTTGCGGGTTGTTTTTTTTTTTTTACCTTTAGCGCACTCTCAGAACGGAAAATACAACAATGTAAGTAGTAATGGTACGGCCATCGTCATAAGTAGGCTAAGTTTGAATGTCAAAAGTAATTTGGCGATTGCTGGATCTTGTTTTATAAGGTAAAAAATCTCGTTGCACCCTCACCATTAAAATTGTTTAATCGATAAACCAAAGTTGAACTTGTGGCTCGCAGGCGATTCCTGCATGTTCCTTCGCTTTGTCAGCGAATAAATTAAATATTATTTCTTCCAAAGAGGTTCCTAGTACAGTTAAATAAGCAGCTAGCTCTAAGGGGACGACTGAAGAAGAAAAAAAACGCCTCTTACTCCATTTCTACCTCCGTTCTTCCTTGGTGCTATTTTTTACCTCCCTCCACGGCCTTTGGCGGAAATCATTGCGCGCGGCTGCTTCGTATATTCCGCTGGTGCTTGGGTGTGAGTGTGTGTGTGTGTTTTTAAAGCCAAAAGAATTATTTTCGATTTTCCCTCCTGGCCTCCTCGCTCGCAGCTTCGCATTCCCGCATTCTGATCCCTCCAACTACTGGTTACACCCCTCAGTACTTTTTAACGTTCAACACAGTGACATAAAAGAAACTTTGGCGGAGTTCACATCATCTGCCTTGGCACTTTCAATGATGTTTTGATAAATTATTGTATCTGTTGGGTTTGGGAAGAGTAATCACATTGCAAACCCCCCAGTAATCCTCAAGAAACATTTTTTTCCATGAAACCTTGGTAAAGGTATTTTGTAAGTTACAATATATGCAAAGGCATGCAAAGGTTTCTTACCTCAACCCAAGCAGTTATAGAATTGTGCATTGGATCAAGATTTCCTCCAGCTGAAGAATGATTTGCTGATACAAAAACGTTTGGAATGTTTTGATAAACCTTTCTGAAGTAGATATCCTGAAAAAAAAAAACGATTTGAAATGCGTTAATCAAAATAGACATGCAAGAAACCACGAAAGATAGCAATTCAGTTCGATTAGAAAAGAATCTAAAAGACTCTGACCTTACAGAAAGCATTATTAAAGTCTGGCGGAGGACTGTTGGAGTTTGTAAAGTAAACCGAATTCTGTTCTGAGAAGAGAGGCTTCTGGGAAGTCGAAAACGCCAACCAGTTCTACAAAAGAAAAAAAAGAAGTTGTATTTATTTTTGATCATCATTAGTAGTTTGGTTATTTAAAGATTTATGTGGTCTGTAATTTGCACGTGGTAAGCTGTTCTTTTAACTTAGCACATCTAGGGGGTTTACATTAAACGTTAAAACTAGTAAAGTGTAATATTCGACATGAAGATTTCAACTTTGCATCATTACTATAGACTATTATTGTATTGCTACCCTTCGAGAATAGCACCGCTTATTGCGGGCGACATAATTGTTGAGTTTTAAATTGAATAAATTGCTTTGGTAGTTCAGTGACATTAAATAAATAAAAATAAATAAATAAATAAATAAATAAATAAGGATTTAGAGGTAGCACATCCACAAAGTGGTTCTTTGTCTACCTTATTCCTGGTCGAATTGGAATTTGGAAATGTTGGTTTTTGAGGAGAGGGGAAAACCGGATTACCTCTCGGAGCAAAGGAGTGAACCAACAACAAACTCAACCCACGTATGGCGTCGACGCCGAGATTTGAACCAGGCCAAACTGATGGGAGGCGAGCGCTCCCACCACTGCGCCATCCCTTGCTCCCCATGAAAACACTTCACTTACTACATATATATCCTCGTGAGAACCTGCGTAATTTTGAAGTTCCCTTAAACATATTTTACAGGAGGATGTCGTGATATCTTCCAACCAGACACTGGCGTCGTCCCTCTTCAGCCCAGCATGATGATGTGCTATCGTCACAAAAACTAACGGCGTCTTGGAGAACTTGCCCTGTGATAGAAAACAAGACGGAATTTGCTGCTAATGGTCGTTTAGCCATTCTACGCGCTGGCATAGTTGAATACTGAAATCAAAATAACGAAAAACAAACAAACAAACAAAAAACAAAAAATAAAAACAAACCGAAGGAAAATTGACAGTCTCGCAGGTCGTCCCAGTCCACCACTGTGAAATGCGCCGTACTCCTGCTACCCCACCCACGGGAGCGCCTTGGTAAGCCAGCCAGTCTACCGTCACGTTAGAATAAGACATTCGCTCGTTTAAACCTGCTGTCATCACACACGCGGTAAATTTATCGTTATTCACATTCTCAACCCACGATACAGAGGCATCATGAACATAAGACATGTCACTGGTATCCTGGTGATTGACAGTTATCTGAGCTTCAATGGGTTTGTCAGGATAGAAGATAAAGGGTTCCAAACGTATAACTTGACAAAATGAATACCCCAGGGAGGGAGTGTGCGGCATGCTGCGACGACCATGCTGTAAAGAAAATCCTAAAGAAAATAAATAGGTTGTAAATCCTAAAGAAAAAGAGTAAACGTTAAACTTGGGGATGTTTTAACAGCCAGGTAAAATAGAGCGAGAAACATTTTCTTCTCTTAATACCCACATCGTCTCCCAGATCCAAGCTGTTGCCTGAAGTAAGAACATAATCCCCACCCTTAAGATACGAGGGGCTGACATTGACTTTCTTCGTTCTAAAAGTTGGGGGAGCCACAAGTGGCACATATATCGAGGTTGTTAAATACCTAATCACTACCTATCACGGATTGTTGGTTGCATCTATATTATTAAAAGTGTCATAACATGGCTTCACGCCCTGAAGAATCTCAAGAGAGGAGTTCCCCGGCTGACCGGCATAGTTGCAGTCTATTATTATTCTCTTATCCGATCTGCCACTGCCTTTGTTACTCTCCCAAGAACCATAGTTAGTACAAGAGACTGGTTATGAAAGGCGTCAAACATCAAAGATAAAAACAACGGTGCTGCAGTTTATTTTAGAAGCTCCCTGAAGGTGCACAATCCTTTGCTTTCTGTTCGCAAATTGTGACTGAATAAATCAGTACTACGTTTTTATTGGTCAACAAGATCGAAATGATAGGAATACTACTGAGGGTTTTGCACCGTCAGGTCTACAAAAACATGTAAACAAAGAAGTCTGACGGGCTTTATAACTATTTAACTCTGTTAACTTTGAAGTAAGTTATCTATTCAAAGTTTTTAAAAAGGACAAAAGAGTGTTTTGGGCAAAGCAGCTCTCGTAAAAAACAAAAGCTGCCGATAAACAAACTAATGATCTTTTTTTAGCAAAGCCTCCTTCATAGTAGAGTCAAAACCGCGTGATCAACTCGCTTAATCAAACCGTATAACAATCAGAAGATATACTGTAACCATCTAAATTAAGATTTTTTTTGCTCCACCAATTTGCTACGATACTATCAGTGAGGAGAACAATATGCCAACCACAGCGTAGCAACAAAAAACAAAGCAAATCTAATTGATCTAACCTTCACAGCTACCAGGATGCTGTATCGTGAAGTTCAGCTGCAGAAAACACATTTCTTGTTCAAACAGGCATTTATTATCATAAGTGGTGCCGTTTGAAGAACAAACTGGTTCTTGATAGGAGGGACAACTGTTTACGCAGACGCAACGAGCATCATGGGGTCCAATTGCCTTACAATAACCATATTGGCCGCATGTCACTTCAATGCAAGGATCCAAGTCTAGCATCATAATGAGAAAAAGTCACAGTCAATTTAAAGAAGCTCAGTAAATTCATAGAGCAAACGTAGTGACGGTTGTAGAGAGAGGGATTAGAGACCCTTATCAACAGTTTTTTTTTGTTATGGAAAACCCCTGAGAATGTCACATGACCACGGTCTTGCTGTCGCGTGCCTTTGCAGTTAATTTGCAGATCATGTTCGAACGGCAGTAACGGCTTCCAGCGCTAAGTGACTCTACGGCAAGGTTTTTTGCCACTAAATATTGTACAGCTCACGTTTAACGGCAGAAGTAGCTTTCTGTATCTTCCTTCTATGTGCTAGTTAGATTTTTGAACTCGAATCAATAAATTATTCCTGTTTTGGGCGATAAAAGTGATTCACTTCAACTTGACGAAAAACAACATGGAGACACTAAACAATGAACACCTTGCTAAAATTTGTAATCCAGGCAACGAGAGACTGCAAACGCATAACTCCAAACTGCAGTTTGTGGTTTGCATCAGATGCTAAAGGTCACCATTGTCACACTAGTACTACTCGATACCGGACATCTACTTTGAGGCAATATGAGGCCTTTTCCTAATCTCCGTATTAATGCAATACCATATCGTAACAAAAAGTATAGAGGCATAGTTTACCCAAACACAAAACTGTTCGGAATAATAAAGTTTAACTCTCCCCTATCTATTTCTGCTGCTAGTTTATCTATTTTATCTTGTCACCCATGGAAAGAGACCGTGGAACGTTTTTGTCTTACCCCCAATTACCAAGTAATCGACTGTGATTATGTTCTTTAAGCTTTCGTAACTGTTGTAGCTTTTGATGCAAATCTCCATGTCCTTTGTGGAGGTAAACTAAGGATAAAATTATAATTGTCACAGCATAAGTTGATAACATCGTTAATAGTGGACTCTTTGGTCGCCTTTCTGGTTACTGTCGGCCCTTTTAACAATTGCGGACCTAGTTAGTTGCTCAAAGATGACTTTTACCTTAAGTCAGTTCACCCAAGCGGCCCAGACTTTGTGATAACCGCTTGAATTTGAATTGTATACAAATTATGTAAAGTATGGAAATGAACAAAAGATATCCCAAATTCTGCACTTTTTGAAAAGATTCGAATTATGAATATGATTTACTTTGTGTTTATGTTGTGTCGTTTTACTATCTGTTTAGCTTCTGGAGCCATTTATGAGCCGCTTTTAAAGAGATTTCCAGTTGTACTTCCAACAACTTAAAATCTCATACTTAGCAAAATGGCTTCGAAATTGCTCTTGAAGGAAACAGATGGTAAAAGCGTGACACAACACAAACACAAAGTAAGTAATTTATTGAAGTACGAGTATTTTCAAAAGAGAGAATTTAGGATATCTTTAGTTTCTTCCACTACATTCTCTTATACGCCTGGGTCGCTTGTAGTCCTGTAACATGTTACATAAGCCTGTGCAGTATTGTGCAGCAATGCATTGTCTCTTCTAAGCCTAATCAGCGCGTATTGTATAATAGCATTGTTTGTATTCCCATATACAGTTACTGTACATACATACTCGAGTAGGACATAATGTATTTATTCGGAGTGTACACTTCAAGTACACAAGTCGTGTCGAAAACTCACCATTAAAGTATTTAAGGGCCTGTTTACATGGAGTGGGGGACCCCGGTCTAGTGGGGTAGGTTTCTTTTGTTTTGTGTTCCCCAGAGCGTGAAAACAAAAGAAACCAACCCCACTAGACCGGGGTCCCCCACTCCATGTAAACAGGCCCTAAAGCAGCTGTGTCACGAAATTTATAAAAATTCAAACCGTGGGAACTGCCAACAAATCGGGTGAAACATCAAAATAACGACTCAAAACGTCAAAAGAAGGTATAAATAAGATAGAAAATTCAAAAGGAGGCACGGATGGACAAGCGTGAAGAAGATTGAAACGGGTTGTTAGTGAGGTTTTTGAAAACTTGCTATCCTAGCAGTTTTTCAAAGTTCATGTTTGTTGTTTGTAGTGTTTATTATAATGCTTGGGAGGCATATTTGTTTGACACGAAGCTGTCACTTGGTCATTCACAAGTAATGTCTCAAGTTCCATCGATAGTAAATGAGGACGCGTAATTGGCATTATGAACAAAATGAAGAAAACAGCTATAGTGACACAGCCCCTTTAAGATCTGAATCTTGCATGTTCCAAACACGTGACTGCTTGGCAATAATTTCTTGCCCAGCATCAAAAAACCAAATACCCTGCGAGCAGAGGTTACATTTTCGCGGTATGAGCTGGCGTGTGAAAAGTAGCCTCTGCCAACAACCGTTAAATGTTTTTTCGTGCATGCAAAATAATCGTCACTTCTGTCGTCAAATCTGCGAGAGTTTAATTCGCAGGAATCAAACTTACGAACAACTCTGCTCAAGCTTTTGTTTTTTTTCTTTGTTTATCCCCCTCTGATTTTAAGTCAGTTTTGGCCAAGAATTTGCCGAAGAAAAAAAAAACACCGCTAATTTTCTCGGATCGTCTTTTCAAGGAAGTCCTGTCTGCTTTGCGGGAAGCACATTCAATCCAAACGGCAGTTTTTCGGCTTATTATGGTAGTAATACCCTCATGTTAAAGACGTTTTTAAGCGAGAGTTAAACCGTCTTAACACCTTTGTAAAAATTGCTAAAGACGCATTGATGCTACCTATCAAAAGCTGGAAAACTGTTCTAAAAAGTTTTACGGAGCATAAACTCATTCAAAGAGGACAGACGGCAAAACGTAAACGACAAATAATTCCACCTGCGCGTTTTCACGAAGTTTTCATTTTAAACAACGGTAGTTGGATGACCATTTAAGCAGTAAATTTAGAGTGCAAATAAGCTGTCCAAAATTTTCTTATTTTCAATCTATAATAACTAGTGAACCATAGTTGTGTTCAAATTCGCCGACAACCCTACGCAGAAGTGATGTAGTCTAACGACTGTGTTTTAAACTAATGTTATGAATGAACAAAGACAACAATAGTCAGAGAAATTATTTCCCGAAAAATTTTTTCGAAAACCCTCAATTTTCTTCCTTAAAAGCAATTCGCGTAACACTTAGTGGATCGTGGATCCTTTCACCCAATTAAAAGTGGCCAATGACTTTAAATTTCAACGCCAAAATCCGTCTCAAACCGGGGCGCATTTTATAAATTTTATTTCAGTTTGAAGTCAAATGTGTAAAACATCCATGAAACAAGTATAAATACATAAAGTCCCATTTAAAAACGGAATTCCTTTCACTACTTATGTGTAAAATGTACCTGAAAATTCTTTAAAAACTCTGCTGCTTTGGTTTCTTTCCACAACAGTGCGCTCCACCGCGAAGAAACCAACCAGGCTGAAGTCCGTGACGAAAAATTTCTCAACAAAAAAGTTTTTTCTTCTTTTTCCACCAAAAGAAAACTGATCGATGATTCTTTTGAAAGTTAAAGTAAGTACATTTTACCCCTTTACAACTTTACGGTTTCCATCTATGTCTTCAAGTGGTGCTTTTGCATTAGAGGTGGCACAACAAAAATCACCTCAGGTATCCATTTTCATTTCCTGGCAAACAAGAACTACCACCTGATAAATTAACGATTTACCGTGTCCCGTAAGATTTCAAGCACCCGTAGTAGCTAGTTTTGGTATTCCGACAGCTTTCAAAGACAGAGCTTAGTCAAGTTGAAAACGCTCTTTACATCTATATGTACAGGGATATAACCTCATCACAATGTTTTGAGCGGTTGTTGGCAGAGGCTCCCTTTCGCACGCCAGCTCATAGCGCGAAGACATAGCCTCTGCTCGCAGGGTAAAAACCAAACTGCAACAACCTACACAAAACTGCACCTAACTTGTACTACAACAAACTGCACCAACTAAGACAACTACAAGTACTGCAAAAAGCAACATTAACTACAGAAAGCTACACCAAACTACAGCAATTATAACAAATTAAACGAACTAAAATGACAACTTGCACGATCTAAATAAAAAACAACAACTAATTAAGCAAACCACAACAAACTACACCAAACACAATAAACTACACCAACTAAAACAACTACAAGATTAACACTAAAATACATCAACTCTTGACACTAATATAGACTATACCAAACGTCAGCAACTACACTGACTGTAACAAAATAGTCACTAACCACACCAATTAACTACACCAAAAACAAGTACGCTAACTACACCAACTACACCAAATTCAGGAAACACATAGACTAAACGACACCAAGTATACGGTAATTGAACTAACTAAAGCAACACCAACAACTATGAAAACCAAACGGGTTTTGTTAAAGGAGGCCCGTGGCCCAGGGCCCAGGGCCAAGGGCCAGCAGCAGCCCGGCTTCCGCACCGCCCAACGACCCAGCGCTGATTTTAACAGATTTTTTGACCAGCGGTAGATCCACGCGCATGCTCAGATAAATTCATTAGGTATGGGGGAGAAAAAAGTACGACGACGCTGCTTTTTGGGTTCTGTAAACAGACGAATGCATAGATTACACTTGAATTGTATCTATGCATTCGGCTGTTTACAGAACGCGACAGCACAAAAGAGGACGTTAATTCTCCAACCATTTAAAAGTTATTTCAAACTACTGTTTGAACGTAAAGATATCATAAATAGCTGATAAGAAATGTTAGAACTGCGGATCTTTTTTGTACCTGCAGAGACATGTCCTTCAATACGTCAGTTCATTTACAGGAGCCCCATACCAAAACGAGGGTGTGTTCGCAAAGGACGCAGTTTCCAGCGATCACATCAATGAACGGAAAAATCTTTATTTAAGTACATCATTTCGAGTGTTAAAGGAGTAGTCTATTTTCGATGGGAAACTACGAACAGTAAGTTTCAGCAAGAAGAAATAAAGCATGCAAACACAAATCGCCTTACAAAACCTTTCTGATTAACTGTTAGTTACATTGCATTTTAGATTTACGGTCAAATCATTTGATTATAAAACAGAGAATGTGACAACCTAATTCGCTGCCAAACGCAACCAATAATCCGCAGTTTATCAGATCTCATCATTTATGATTTTTCACTGCACTGTGGTTTAAAAATAACTGCCTTGCGTAATTGGGTCCTGTAAACAGACGATTACATGGAGAATCGAACATGTTAACGCCAGAACAACATGCATCAAACAGATACAAGACTTTCAACAAAATGAAAGGATTGAAATGATAGACGGATTCAAACTGATCATCGTTGTCCTCTTTTCTCGCCCATACCCGATGCATATCTCTGTGTGCGCTTGGATTTAGCACCAGACAAAAAATAAAAGTGTGTGAAAAATTAGGACTGGGCCGCCGGGCTGTTGGGCCTTCGGGCCGCAGGGCCGACGCGGGAAGTGGGCCGTTGGCCGTGGGTCGTGGGTCGAGGGCCTGCTTTTAACAAAACTCGAACTTAAGTACGCAAAAACAACAACAACGACAAAGCCATATTTATGCTCATAAGTTGGCACACAAACACGGTTGCAGTTAGATTGGGCAACAGCATTTATCCCACAATACTATACTAACTACAGCAAGTACACCGTAAACCACACAAGAATACACGGCTAACTTAAAGGAGCTGTGTCACGAAATTCAGCTAAATTAGGAAATTACAAAATGCCCGTTAAATTAAGAGAAGCGTAAAAAATCACCGCTTAAAACATTAAAGGAAGGTTAAAATAATACAACAGATACAACAGCTGCCACGGATGGGCAAAACTGAAGAAGATCGAAACGGATTGAAATTGGGGTTTTTGAAAACTGTTCAGCCTAACAGTTTTTCAAAGTTGATCTCTGCTGTTTGCAACTTCAAAAATAATGCTCAGGAGACATATTTGTTTGTCTCGAATCTCTGATTTTGTCATTTACATGTAATTTCTTTGCTTACTTTAAGTTCCATAGCGATTGAGGGCGAGTAATTGGCAAAATTGAACAAAATGAACTGGACTGCCGTGACACAGCCCCTTTAACAACAACGTAACTGCAACAACAGCATTAAAACTGCACCAACTACAAAACCAAACTATAAAAACTATAGCATCTACGCTTTGAATGATAAGTAAGTAAGTCATGAGAATTCAGTCACCTCTTCCCAGGCTGTCACTGCATCGCATGAAGGTCCCAGTGAGCTGACATTTCTGTGATAACTGCGTTTTGGTGTCAAAACCACCACCGGAGGAGCAAAGAATGGATTTGTGAAGTTTACTGTCTGAAAAACGAAAGACAAAGGTTGTTAGCATGAGACATAAATGATGTCAGGAGCCCCACTCTGATGCAAGGCCTGGGTCACAGGGTGTCGGGTTTTCTTCGTGTCCATCAGACTCTCAGCTGGTGAAGAAGGGGGACCGGAGGTCCAATTCTCCCGCATCCCGTGTCTTTTTTTTCTAGGCTTCCTCCCTTTAGCCCTTTGCAAAATATTAACCATTGCTAAATTTTCCTTCATATTTCCCGATTCCCTCCGTTTGAACTCCCACCTCCCGCCCTTTCCTCTCCCGCCTCCCGTACCCCTCCCGCCCCCTATTCTCCCGGCTTCCCAGCCCCTGTCAACCCCACCAGCTAGTCAATGCAGAGTGGCATTTCCAGCTGTTGTGGATGACATCAGTGATGTTGCATGCTAAGAAAGATTCATTTGTCGAAGAACGGTAAAAATGAGACCTTTGAATCATCTATTTATAGACTATTAGTCAACTGTCAGCCGAACTATGCTCACGTTTGGGAAACAGCGAATTTTGCGAAAAATACCTAAAAAATAGGCCAAGTCAATTCAACAGTTTTATTAATTCCTGAAAAATCAAGTTTAATACCAGTTTAATTTTTGAATCGAAACTTCAGGCAAGAATCATTTTCCTAAGACGACACAATGCAAGAGAAGGGAATGATGACTGAACAAGCTTAAGGAAAGTCATTTTTTTTCTTAAAACAACAAAACAAGCTATCCTTCGGCATTTCACCTTACCTGACAAAAAGCGAGGTTCTCTTGTTGAGTAGTGTTGTTGGCAAAAACAAGGCTCTCCATCAAAGTGAAGTTGTATAAGGATGCCTCGGTATAAGCCATCCAGTTCTTAAAAAAAGGTGACATATACGCAGAAGTTATTTGCATACAATAGATAACTTAATCTGTTCATGTTGTCCTTCAGCAGCATAATTAAAAAAAAACTGTTCTAGTGAGGCCTTAAACTGCTGTTTAAAAAGTAAACACTAAAATCCAAGCTTTCGCCGATCAACGAAGCACGGAATAAAGCCGAATAGAGTTAATAAGTAGAGACGGTTTTTGACCGTAGCCGTTCAAAATAATATCTTCAAAAACTAATTCCATCTCATTTCATTACACACCTTAGGCTTACTCCATTCAAAACAAGAACGAAGATCGATTTTTGACCGTGACCGCGATTTTTCCGATTTTCTTTGATTTTTAGTGACATTCACTCTTAACTCAATCTTTACTCATACTCAACTTAACCTCATTTTAGACTCGTAACTTGATCGTCATCCCATCTTTAAAGCTGGCAAAAACAGCTAGTGTCACAATACTCACAACTTTGATATTTTTGTGAACTCCATCGAAGATCTTAGATTCCTTGAGACAAATCTTAAAACTGTCCTTGCGCGAGTCCTCCATCCACACGGCCATTGCATCTTGAGGTCTCTCTGGAGACTGGTGACTAGGGGTTACAAGTATGACTGGGGGTGACAAGAAAGGCTGAAAACAGTGCAATCAAAGTTTGTGACTATAGTAGATAAATACTTATCTGTCTATAACACGCTGAAGTGCCAAAAGAAAAAACATTATAATATTCTAAGGGTGTTTTTGTTCTGCTAGTCATGTCATGACCTCAGATTATAAAAGAAAATGACGGAAATTTGTTTGAATTTTTCTCAAACAAATAGAAAGACGACTGACTTAAATTCTCGAAATTTCATCAGAAACAATTACATAGTAAGAGCAAGGTAAACCTGTTTCAAGTTGACCCACTTGCATGTTGTTCCTGTGCTGCAATCGTTTAAAGAAGCCGTTCCTTTCTTAGCTCCAGAAGGTGCAGATTGTATTGCTATCCAGTTCACCTCTGCTGTGTTGTTAGAACCATCACTGTATTCTAAAATACAAGCCTTGAAACCACTATTCCCTACTGACTCCACCCAGATGGCTCCCCCGTTACCAGGAGTTGGGCTTTTGATGGAACGGCCCAGTGTCGCTAGCACGGTAATTTTTTCTCCACCATAGAAAGGCGTTGCAAATGGAATCCTCTGGCAAGCGAACAGCCTTGGGGAGACTGTGGCCACGTTTGTCTTACCGGCTCTAAAACTGGCTGTCACGAAACAAAAACAACAACAACACAAGTGCATATTTAAATGCGTCGATCGCACGTGGCAGTAGCCTGCGAATACAGCCGTCTCTCTTCGCTCCTCCGCGCTAGAGACGTTTCGTTAGAGAGATGTCTGCGATTTGGCCCTAGAAATTCCATACTGATACGTAGATTTTTCCGGAATTAAGTCCCAGAGCACTGATTGGTCAACGAAGTAATTCTATTCTTTAGGTATTGTTTAGAAACTGGGGCAGACAAAAAACAGAACGTCGCAAAAATCAAATGTAAATGCCACGGATCTACTAATAAACACAGTCTGACTCATTTTTTGTGGAGTGTAATCTTCTTTACAAGAAGCGTTTCAGTTTTGCTCCCCCTTGTTCGCATAAGAACTCAAAACTTCGCGCTAATGGCTCTCTCTGAGGAAAAACAAAAACTCGAACAAATTTTCATTTAGAACTTCATGACTATTAGATTAACTATGTAAACATCGATTCACGTCACCACGTAGTATGAAGTTGGGGCGACGAGGAGCGAGGAAAGGTGGCTGTATTAACAGGTTAATACGGAAGAGTTCCACAGTTTAACCAGCTACTTGTACAATGTATGAACACGCAAAGACACTTATGGAACTTAACGATTGATTTCATGCTCACTTTCATTTCTTCCTTGCTTGAGTGCCCCACTCTGAAAGCATCCCTGAATTGTTCTACTGACAATACCACCAAATTACCACTGACTAGACGCATCACATAACACAAAATTCATTGTGCAAAATTAATAACATTTTTTTATACCTTCAGTGCCTTGGGCAAACAGCAGTACTGCAAGGAGGGCGCAGCACAGATACACTGCAACATGGTGAATGTCAGACATCTTCGCTGTAAATGAAGGGAAACTTTTCTCAAGCAATCTAACTTATAGACGTGCTAACGAAAATTGGGCTTGTTGTAATAAGCTCACAAACGTTTAATATTTGGAAAGTGTGACTGACGATAACGAATTTTCCGGCCTGATTGCATAGCTACCCCTAGGGAAAGAGATATACTGTCACTTGAAGTTGCTTGTATGTGTGTCTAGGTTAAGTTTGTTCTGAATAGTGACTAATATAAACTCCTTGCAAGAATTTTGCTTTCGGTGTAAGTCTGTAAGGCCTAAGTCAAAGGTCGAACTTTTCTTATGAGACGTTAGCCGGCCATAAATATATTTTCTCCCGAAGGAAGCTAAATATACATCATCATACACATTTTCAATTTATTAGTTTAGCTCGTCGCATGCGAAGATCGACGTTTGTCCAGGGACGATCTTCAGACGTTCTATCCATCTGAAGCAGCCGGGATAGAACGCGTGTTAGATGATCCAACCTCATTCAGACGAACTCAACTGAGCCAGTTGTCGAACTTTCATGAACTTAACTCCCTACTCAAGGGGTTTAAGGCCTAGTCAAAGGTGTGTTCGGAGCACATGATTGATTGGCAATATCTCTCGCTAGAGTACGTAGAACAAAATGAAATTATCCCAAAAGTAAATCTTGAGGTCGTCTTGTGCCTAAAAGTTTAACTATGGTTACGTGGCATGTTACGTGCCCAAAATTGAAAATCTAGGAAATTTGCGAATTGGTGGCAGTTTTACTTTGTTTGGATAAATGAATTGGTATTCCTGACAGAGTATAAAAATACTTAACTTTCTACGTTTGGAATAAATGTACGCGAAGATTAAAATCAAAGTTTTAAATAATTCAAGATTAAATTTGGGCATTGGAAATGATGATTGACCCACCCCCCCCCCCCCCCCCCCCACACAACAAAAAAAACAAAATTACAACCATCGAGCCACAGCGACCATCAAAGGAAAGAATAAAATAAAACTTGTGAGAAAAAGTTAGGACCGTCTCTTTATATATATTTCAAGAGTAGAAGATAATTAGTGGACTCAAGTATAGAAAGCATATAACCCACAAGTCAATGAATCTCACTACAAAACACAAATTTTAAATAAATAAAAATTAAAATTGGGGGTTTGAAAAGATTATTTCCCCCCCCCCTCTCCCCCCCCCCAAAAAAAAAAATTATTAAAATGCAAAGGACGGTCATTCCAAACGCGAATTGTTAGAAATATTTAATATCAATGAGAAAACTGTTATTGCCCCATTACTTATTTTAAACCTGGCACAAATTTGTCAAATATTTACGTTTAGCAAAATGATCACGTGACATATCACGGGGGAACAATATTTATCATTCAAAATGTTAAGGACGATGAGTTCTTTGTGTGTGCCAAATTTTGATTCAGCTCCATAATCTGTGCCGAAGTTATAGCCCATAAATCATATTCCACTGTTAAACCCCTTAGTCCCAGCCCCCTCTTTTTCTGCAGGTGTCACAAATATCCGACGAATTTAGGAAATTCGCGTTACTTTCGATCAACACTAAATTTGGCACACAGGAAGTATATATAAGTCGCCAATTACATGGCTAGTTTCTGTCCCCGGTCGTTGATTACCTTTACGCAATGATTTTTTGAAAACTCAGAAAAATGGACGCCAATGCTGGAAGGATTTGAGGCGGCTTTTGCGAAGAACAAAACCTTGTATCGACAGATTTCGGCGGATTACAAGCCAAAATAATTATTTTGAAGGATTCTGGAGGATAAAAAGCCTAACAAACGCAAACATCAAGGACGCCTTCACCCCGCTATATTGATGTTCGTTAACTGTACATTTATGTTTGCAATTTTCCTACTCGATATTTTTGCGGAAAACCAGACATAAAGCGTATATTGTTGAGTAAACATACAACCACGTGGTTATGAGTTTCATTATGCAAATTAAATGGACCATTAGCATATTTTGACAGCGTCAGAAAATGAATTTGTGGTAATTTCCCAGCCCCTTTATATTTTCGAACGATATGCAGGCTTTTTTTCTTAGATATTGAAGAAGAATTTTCACTATACTAACATGTTGAAGCAAATGGCCAAGTTTAGTACCAAAATTACATTGTTTATTAAATTTTAATATTAATTATGCAAAAATGTGACTATTTATTTCTGTTTTGAAATATTATGGGTTTTTTGAGACAGAAATTTTTTTCTGAAAGAGTATTTTTTGCACTTTCCCTTTCACCAGCCACTATTCAGGAAAAGGATCGTAACAAAAGATGGTCGCTTACGAGAATGAGGTCTCGTAAGTGACCAAATGGTAAAACAACGGAGGGTGGTCACTTACGAGAGCTTCAGAAACTCATTTATAATTCATGAAGGAAAAACAAAAGAAATTAATGTTTAATGATTGTCCTTATTCCTGATATAGACATGGTTAAACTTTACTTTACGTCCAGCTTTTATACCAAAATAACCCAAGATCTTTTTTTTTTCTTTTCCATTAGCGCAGTGTGCAGTTTCATTAAAGTGTTGATTATATGAATGAAACTCTGAGTGGTCGCTTACCAGAGCTGAAAAACAAAGGAATGATCCAGGTGTGTAATCCCGAAAGTTTTTCGCGGTCGCTTACGGGAACAGTCGCTTAAAGTTTTTAAAAGTTACTGTTCAAACGGAGTTCCACAAAAATTGTCATAACTAGAGCTGATCGCTTACAGGAGTGGTCGCAAGGAAAGCTTCGAATGTAACTTCTATTGACAAATGGTACCCCTTTCACAAACTTAGTTTAAAACTTTGTATCCCTTTCAACTGCTGTAAATGTATCTTCTTTAAGATATGAATAAACGTCAAACAAAGACGTTTTCTCGACCTCTTCACAGCCACAAAATGATCCTCTTCCAGATTTGCCTACCCTTTCATACACTTCAACTAGTGAAATCCTTACCCTTTGATACCTGTAGCTGAAAAGGTACCCCTTTCCAGTAAAGCCTCTTTGTATAGGCCGTTTTAAAGGGAATAACACCCTCGGATGAAACCGCTTGTTAAACTGGCGTTAAATTGCATGTAAGACAATTGTTTATCTCGGTAAGGGGGCATACAACTTGGCACATAATTCACTGGGTAAATCTGCCTCTGAACGCCATCAGCTCTTATTATTAATATATAGATTTAGTAAATTTAATTAATAAATTAATAATTTAAATCAAACAATAAACTGTTAATCCACAAATCAGTTAACTTAAGGGCCATTCATGTAACTTTTGAGGGAAAGGCTAAGTTATTTTAGAGTTGAACATCTTACATCGAATTGATAACCTAATATGTACACCCAGAAAATAGCAAACATCTTCGATCACATTTAAGATCACAGTAGATTAGGCCTCGAAAACAAATTCTTGGAAAACAAATCACGCCAAATTTTTTTGCGTTGGACAGGTTTGCTTTACAAATTCTTGCCAACAAATCTGGGGGCGTTTAAACCAACCTTTTAGAATTTTTATACATCACATTTGAG